TGTTTTCCAGGATGTATGGCCATGTTCCAGAAGCATTCTTTCCTGATGTTTCACCTGCATCTATGGCAGGCATCCTCAGAGATTGTGAGGTCTCACAACCTCTGAGGATGCCTGCCATAGATGCAGGCAAAACGTCAGGAGAGAATGCTTCTGGAACATGGCCATACAGCCCGAAAAACACACAATGACCCAGTGATTCTGGCCATGAAAGCCTTCAACAATACATTTCCCTTATTTTGCTTTTTCTGAGAGCTGAACATAAATAAAACACAATAGCACTAAATTTTGTTTTGAGCCTTTTAAAAATAACTTTAGATACAGTACTGAGTAGTATAAATTAATTTTATATAAAATGGGCAGGGAAGAGAAAGGATTCTGCTTTACAAATGAAAAAAATGTAAGAAAACAAATAGTCTTTTAAGACAGAGTAAAATTGAACAGCAAGAAGTGCTTTAATCTTTGCAAGTTTTTGGTTTCAGGTTGGCAAACAGGAAGTGTGTGGCTCCAAATTGTTTTTAATTGAATTTTTTGACTTGTTATTTGTCTACTTTAGAGAATGATATTCAGAGACCATAGCTGTTGTTGTACGGTTTATTCATTTATTTTCCAGTAAAAAGCCTGACCATACCATTAAATACACATTGTTTGTCAGAGGCCACGAAGCAGAGTTTTGCCAAATATCTATGGACTTCTTTGTCACAGGAGAACTGGGCCAGCCAAATACAACAGGTAGTATGAGAAGCTGTTTGAATTCCAGGTGCTGCATAGAAATTCAGCTCCTGAGAGTAAAATAGTCCTCTGTTATTTTTCCGGACAGTAGAATTGAAGATCTAAGACCATTGTGTCCCCTCCTCCCTTCTTACTCAGTTCAAGTGAATGGAATGAAAGCACTGTATAATTGCCAGATGCAAGGGAGAAATAGCTGCAATTGGAAAAGGAGTCAAGCACCATTCTTCTTATGACCGTGTTGTATTAAGAAGCGGCAGGCTCTTTCCATTCATTCTATACAGGTAAATGGAGCCAAACTCACAAGCCTGCCTTTCTAATGAAAGAAAGGCTGGGTTTTGGAGCCAAGCTGATTGTCTTTGTTAATTGTCATAATGTTGGACTTAAGGCAGTTCTATGAAGGAGAGGCCTCCAAGTTACCCTGTTATCAACAACCTTGCTGAAATCTTGCAGGCTCAGGGCTGTGGCTTCCTTCATGGACTTTATCCACCTGTGGCCAAACTGGAAAAATTGGGAATTTGAAACCTTTGGCTGGTTTAGCATGATTTCTGTGTTTCAGATGATCCAAGGAAAGTTTTTCTTTCTCCCACAGACTGCCTCTATCAGGTTTATAGATCTTCATCTTCTGGGGCAAAATTGCATCTATTGCCTGCTAACAAACATACCTATACTGTTACTGAGCCCAACCAGGCATCTGGTTTACCTGAGATGATGTTGGAAGAGTTTCCATATATTATAGTCCATTCATAAGGTAAAGGTAAAGGTTTCCCCTGACATTAAATCTAGTCATGTCTGACTCCGATGGGTGGTGCTCATCTCCATTTCTAAGTTGAAGTGCCAGCATGGTCCGTAGACACCTCCAAGGTCATGTGGCTTGCATGGAGCACTGTTACCTTCCTGCCAGAGTGGTACTTATTGATCTACTCACATTTGCATGTTTCTGAACTGCTAGGTTGGCAGAAGCTGGGGCTAACAGTGGGAGCTCATCCCACTCTTCGGATTTGAACCACTGACCTTTTGGTCAGCAAGTACAGCAGCTCAGTGGTTTAACACGCTACGCCACCAGGGGACCCTGTCCATTCATTGAATACAGAGTTGGAAGAGAGGACATGGGCCATCTAGTCCAATCCCCCACCATGCAGGAAAAGCACAAAAAAGTATACCTGACAGATGGCCATTCAGACTAAGAGGTCATCCAGAAAAGCCGCTTTTCATTTTTTCAATACGTGCCATGGCCTGATCTACCAAACATCCTGCACTCTCCTCTGACCTTCTCCCAAGCCAAGCGTACTCCTAGCTGAAGGACAGCATCGTGTTTTGATAGGGATACAAAAGCTGATTTATTGGAATTTTAGTCCAACACCCAAGTCATTACATCAAGCTGGTTCTACTTTGCTTAATATTGCAGAAAAGGAGTGAAAGAAATAAGGCAACCAGCGGAAGGGAAATTATCTATAAAGAAGTTTCATTTCCAGAAGCTTAGCAGAGTCTCCTCAAACCCAGCATCTTCCACAGATGTAGGACTCTATAATCTCATTCATTATGGCTAGGGCATATTTATGGTCCAATCCAACTGAATGGCACCAGATTGGGAAATGCTACTTTGTGTAAATTTAGATCATTCATCCTCCTCAATATTATGTTTTGCTTTTTCTCCTTTGCATCGAGATAATATAGTGAGTCACAAGGGATAAAAGAACAGCACTTAGAAAGACTGTGTCATGATCAAAAGTCCTGTAATCCCTATCTGGGGATTATGGAAAATAAAGATATTTTAGTAAAGCTTTTCCTAGGTGTAGTTGGAAAGTAACAGTGATGAAGTCTCGGCTCTCTAAGCGTATGTCAGTAACTAATCCCTTTCCTTTGCTGTTTCATTTTTGGAATCCATTCCTGAAAATAGGCCACTATCTTATTCTACCCAGTTACACAAAAGCTTCAGTGGATCTCATCCTTTGGTAATTTGGGATATTTTGTGAACCCTTCAGTTCAAGGCAAAATAAAGGTGTGTAGTGGAAACAGAGAAAAGGATCATAGCAAGCAGTGATCCGAAACTATCCTTTCTCTTTGCTTTCTTGGCTTCCAACGGTTGCACTAGATGCTACCAATGGAATCCTTGCCTGGAGACTTTGGTTAAATCAGGCATGGGCAAACTTTGGCCTTCCAAGTGTTTTGGACTCCAACTTCCACAATTCCTAACAGCCTCAGGCTGAGGGGGGAAAGGAAGGGGCCTGAGGCTGTTAGGAATTGTGGGAGTTGGAGTCCAAAACACCTGGAAGGCCAAAGTTTGCCCATGCCTGGGTTAGATAGTACTAGCAGTACAGAATAAAATGCAAAAGCATTCAGCATTATTAGCATATATTTTGTGATCTTTTGTGCAAAATCTCCTGCGGCTATAATGAGGCTTTGCATAACTCCAGTTACTTCAGATTGGAAGATGTCACCCTGAGACTACTAATATGAGTTAGAAATGGGATATTAATGACTATACCAGAGAAAGAGGCACAACCGCAGTGTTTGAACATAAGGTCAAATACAATAAATGAAAATGGGAAGTGCTGATGATACAATGTCAGTTGGTTCACTCTTAGCAACAGTCCACTGAATCATAACGGTTTACCCTAATTAATTTTGTCCCTCCATGGTCCCAAGTACTAATCTCTCTGTATACTAGCATTTGAGATTCCTTATGAAAGTGGCATTGTGTAAAGACCTGAGCCTGGAAGGCTTACTTTCCTGTTTCCCAGAATGCCTCAAGCAGGTGTTATACTGGGCTTAGATGCATGGGAAGCTATCTTATAGTGAGCCAGACCACTGGCCCATTTAGCCAAGTGTTGCCAATTTTGATTGTTAGCTGTTCTTGGAGTTTCATGCAGGATTTTTTTCCTAGCAAAATCTGGAATTCCATAGTACTCCCCGGTTGCCTCTGTCCCAAGTACTAGCCAAGTCTGACTCTAATTCAAATTTCAATAATACTAAGGGTGCACCTATGCTGCAGAATTAATCCAGCTTGACACCACTATAACTGTCATGATGGAACCCCCAGTGGCTCAATTAGTTAAGCCCTTGTGCTGGCAGGACCGGAGACTGAGAGGTTGAAGATTCGAATCCTGGGACAGCACAGATGAGCTCCATCTGTCAGCTCCAGCTCCCCATGTAGGGACATGAGAGAAGCCTCCCACAAGGATGGTAAAACATCAACACATCTGGGTGTCCCCTGGGCAATGTCCTTGAAGACGGCCAATTCTCTCACACCAGAAGCAACTTGCAGTTTTTCAAGTTGCTCCTGACACAAAAAAAACTGTCATGATTCAATGCGATGGCATCCTAGCTACTGTAGACTTACAAGGTCTTAAGCCTTTTCTGCCCAAGAGTGTTGGTGACTCATCAAACTACATATCCCAGGATTCCATAGCATTGAGCAATGGCAGTTAAAGTGGTGTCAATTCTACAGTGTAGATGCGCCCTTTGTATTGCTGGTTTTTGAATTAGGGTCAGACTTGGTTAGTAAAGTGGTGTCAAACTGCATTAATTCTATAGTCTGGATGCACCCTGAGTGTAGTCTAGGAGATACTGCGGGAATTGTCTGGCAAATAAATAACTTTTCCAATGTTGTTATGCTCTCATCTGCAATTAACAACATAATTACAATATTCCTTCAACTTCTATGGGAATTAGAGATGCAGAACTTCTATGAAAGTGGAAAAAAAATGAACAAAAAAGGCTTTTTTTAACAACCCGAAAGAACACCCCTCTAGGAATCTTTAAGTCCTTCGGTGCGATTCTATGGTGAATGTCTGGCAGAAGTTGACCATAGAATCATATTGGAGGACCTAGAAAAGTATTAATCAAATTTGTGAATAATCAAATCCACAAAAGTCAAACCTGCAAATGTGGATGTCTGACTGTATAGCCCAGGCATGGGCAAACTTGGGCCTTCCAGGTGTTTTGGACTTCAACTCCCAGAATTCCTAACAGCCTCAGGCCCCTTCCTTTCCCCCCTCAGTCGCTGAGGCTGTTAGGAATTCTGAGAGCTGAAGTCCAAAACATCTGGAAGAATGAAGTTTGCTAATGCCTGGTATAGCCTGATTTTAGAGGTCACGGAAACAGTAACTGTATAGCAGGCTAGGAGCCCCAGTTCACCCAGTGTGGCAATCTTAATTTTACTTTATGTAAATCCATGAACAAAAGCTCACAGTGATCCATACCACCAAAAAAATGGGGAGGAGGTGAGGAGAAATACAAATTCCAACTTAAAGAGAAGATAGGAAACCAAATAAGCCTCATCCTCGTTATAATCACGTGCCGAGAAGGCCCGGGTTCGGTGGGGCAGCGGTTCCCCCAGAGGACAGCGCCTCTTTTCCTGTTCATACACAGCTTGTAAACAGCGAAAAAAGTGTTGATACATGTATTTTTGCTTGCATTAGTTCGGATCCCCGAGGCATGACATGGTTTAGTGGTTTTAAAAATAAAAAATATACATACATACATACAATTAAAAATAATCTATTCAGACATGACAATAGAAGTCCTTAGTGCATATGCTGTCACTGGTTGTCATTCTGACTGCCTTGACTTTGTGCCCATTGTCACTGTAAACAGCCTGAGTCCAATTAACTGCCGGGTGGAAAAGGAGGAGAGGGAAAAAATAACTTCTTGTCCTCCTGATCCAACCCACCCCAAGGGGAGACTGGAATCGTAAGTCTTTGCCATATTTCCCCTGCGTCTCTTGCAGCAGGAAGCATATTGTCCATCCAAACGGCTGTGTTTTCTTCAGCTTATTCCCCGCCTCAGTTTTGTTCCTTTGGGAAAATGCGCTTGAGAAGGGAGAACTCCAAGGGTCAACTTTGGTGGGAGAACGTCCAGTGAGCGAGGGATCGGGAAGCACCATTGGCCGTCCATAGCAGCGTTGAAGCGGATGGACGGAGAGAAACTCTGGAAACCCCATGGGGGCAATACAGCAAATATATTAAATAATAAACCTGGAAAGTAAGAAAACAGAAAAGGTGAGTTGAGATCCCATCTTGCCTTGCTAGACCAGTTTCATTCTAGCTATTCTTTCTAATGGCCTTTCCCAACCTGACCTCCTACATGTTTTGAAATGTGTCTTTATCAGTTCCAGTTAAGTAGCTGATGGTGAGGGAGCTTTTGGCAAAGGAACTAATTAATTTACAGTTTTATAAAATTGAGAAGTTGAGAAAATAGTGTGCAGCTGTGGAATGTTTGATAAGGCAAAATGGGCATGCTATTATCATGCTCTAATCCAGCAAATCTGTCTGACTGCATGTAAAGCCATTCCTGTTTTGATTCTTTCTCATCTCAGCCAAGAGATGTATGCTGCCAACTGAATGGAGTAGTAGTTTATTCCTTTCCTTTGACTGAATCTTTCTAATCAACAGAACTGTGCATTCACACTAGGCATGGTTGATTAAAAAATGGATTGTTGTAGGTTTTTTCGGGCTGTATTGCCATGGTCTAGAGGCATTCTTTCCTGACGTTTCACCTGCATCTATGGCAAGCATCCTCAGAGGTAGTGAGGTAACTACCTCTGAGGATGCTTGCCATAGATGTAGGTGAAACGTCAGGAGAGAATGCCTCTAGACCATGGCAATACAGCCCAAAAAAACCTACAACAACCCAGTGATTCCGGCCTTGAAAGCCTTCGACAGTAGATTTAAAAAAATGCTTCAAAACTGCATTCCAAAGTAGGGGGCACTGGTGATTCGATTCTAAAGTTACTTCCGAATTTTTCCTTTTTTAAAAAACTTTCTGAAATGTCCGAATCTTTGGAAGTGATTCATTAATGGCGGACATGATTGCACAATAGGGGAAAAACAGCAAAAGTGGGGAAAATTCAGGGTCTTCTCTGAATCCCCTTGTGGGTAGAAGGACGGGATAGAAATGTATGTAATAAATAAATAATAAAATTCTCTCTCCCTCATTTTTAGCTATCCTGATGAAACTTGTTACAATGGTAGAACACATCCTCCACTGTTAGGATACCAAATTTCAGAATGTTCAGATGATCCATTGATTTTTAGATTTTTTTAAAAAGAATTTAGAAAATATATATTTTAAAAATAAATAAAAGTGCTACCTCCTTGAAGTTTCTAGGGATTCCCTCCAACTTTCAGACATAGTCAGACTTCTAACAATTTTTGGTAAATTTTAAATGTTTGTCAGAACCTTTTAAAAAAGAAATTAATTTTCTCTTATTCATATTAACCAAAAGAAGAAACCAATATCAACCATTTCCTCATTTTCATAGATTTCTAAAGTTGGAAGGAACCCCCAAGGGCCATATAGTCCAATTCTGTTCTTCCTTGCAGAAGAGGGAGCACCATCACAACAACTGACAGATGCCCCAAGATAGAAATGCCAGAAAAAAATAAACAAAAAAAAATACTCTATCTCTTGATCTCTTATGAAGATTATAACAAACAGCAATCAACCCATGCTCTTGCGAGCCAACAAAAAAAAAGTCAGGAGGAAACCATTAGGGGAGATCATCATCTCAGTTTGACAATACAGCCACTCCAGGAGGAAATATTGGCACTGCAGAAGGAAAGGGGAGGGAAGGAGGGGACCCCTGGGGGCATGGGGTGGAGTGCCTTTTTGGCTAGCCACAGTTCACCAGTGTTCCACCCCACCCATCAAGGACCAATTCCTGCCCCAGCAGAAGGATCCCTCAGGGTCGTGGGGTGGGGTGCCTTCTTGGCTGGCCATTGGAGGCCAACATTACACCCTGCCCCTTCAGGAGTCAGTCCTGCTCCTACAGAAGGAAAGAGGTAGGAGGTAGGTAGGAGGTAGGTAGGGGACTCCCAGGAAGGCTGGGGGCTGAAATACAGGCCTCCAATGGCCAGCCAAACTGGCACCCCTTCCGGGAGAGGAAGGATGTCTCTGGAGAAAGAAAGAGGAGGGAGGTAGAAGGAGAGGACTCTGGGGAAGGCTGGGGGGCTGGGACGCTGGCCTCTGTGGCCAGCCAAACATGCACCCCTCCCAGAGAAGAAGGATGTAGAAGGAAAGGGGATGGAGTCATAAGGAAAGGACTGTGAAAAGCCAGCCTTCTGTCAGAGGTTTACTGGCTCTCTTTTAGACTTTCACATCAGCACCAGCACTCCAACACTTTCACAACAGTCCTGTATAACTTCATGTGATTTGTTTCTGCAAATTGCTCCACCCTTCTGTTGGGACTTGATTTAGTCCCTGGGACAGTTCTGCAACACCTGCTCCCCCGCAATTTTACAACTGTCTTATATAATTTTATGTGATCAGTGGCTTTTGGTTGGCCATTTGGTCATGTCATCTGGAGAGGGCATGGGTTTAACAGTACTACGTTGCTGTTAAATTTCATGTGACTCATTGCTACAAATCTCTTTAGTCTTCTGCTAAGACCTGATTTAGTCTCTGGGACAGCAGTGCATCAACTTCTCCCCTGCAATTATACCACAGTATTGTACAATTTTATGTGATTGGTGGCTGTTGGTTGGCCATTTGATCTCTTTCCTTCTTGCCATGGCATGGGTTTAATAGTACTATACTGCTGTTAAATTTTATGCGATTCATTGGTGCACATCGCTTTATCCTTCTGCTGGTACTTGATTTAGTCCGTGGGACAGCTCTGCAGCACTTGCTCCCCTGAAATTTTACAATCGTCTTATATAATTTTATGTGATTGGTGGCTGTCGGTTGGTCATTCTGTCACTTTCCCTCTGGACTGGGCATGGGTTGAACCAGCACTATACTTTTAAACTTCATGTGAGTTGCTGCTACAAATATCTTATGCCTTCTGATAGGACACAATTTAGTCTCCGGGACAGCTGCATCCATTGACCTGTATTTGTACTACACTGTTGTTAAACTTCATGTGATTTGAAGCTGCTGCTAACTAATCCATGATATAACTGCACACTGCAGCCGCTGACCAGCAGTTTTCCAATGGTGCTATTAAAACACATGTGATTTGTAGATGCAAATCTCTTTAGCCTTCTGCTCGAACTTGATTGATTCCCTGGGACAGCAGTGCATCACTTGCTCCTCTATATTTTTACTACAGTTTTATATATTTTTATGTGATTGATGGCTGTCGGTTGACCATTCTGTCACTTTCCCAAAGAACATAGCATGGGTTGAACTAGCACCTTCCTTTTAAACTTCATGTGATTTGTTGATGCAAATTGTTACTGCCTTCTGCTGGGACTTGATTTAGTCTATACAGGTGCTGCTATATGCAGCACCTGTTCCCCTGCAATTTTACTATAGTATTATATAACTTTATGTGAACATTGGCAGTTGGTTGGTTAAACGGCAGGCAGTGGAATCTCAAGAGTTGCTGCTGCAAATCTCTGTAGCCTTCTATAGGGATGTGATTTAGTCCTTGGGGCAGCTGCAGCCACTGATATGTATTTGTACCATGCTGCTGTTAAATTTCATGTGAGTTGTTGCTGTGCTGCAGCTTATTGATCCACGGTACAACTGCGTGGCATGCTGCAGCCGCTGACCAGCACATTTTCAACAGTGCTATCAAACTTTGTGTGATTCATTACTGACGGCCATTTGGCTCCGCCATTAAGGGCAAATCGTTTGTATTCATTTAGGATGAGATTTACTCCCCAAGGCAGCTGTGCAGCAACATGCACCCAGCAGTTTTTCTACTGTGCTGTACAAGTTTACATCATCTGTGGCTGACAAGCTGTTGGCTGGCCGTAAGGTCACTTTCCCTCTCTCCAGATCATGGGTTGAGCAGTACTACCATACTGCTACACTTTATGTGATTTTCAGCCACAGGCCAGTGTCGGACTTCTAAGGAGGGAAAGGTTAAGCCAGGAATTGGCTAGACAACAGATTATTGGAAAAGGAGGAGAGGATGTGGTTAAACTTAAGTTGTATCAAAAGCATTGCATGCATACCCTGGCATCAAAGTAATAGAAGTAGAAGCAGCCATGAATCTGTTGAGCAAAACTAAATAAGGTCAACAGCACACACTGAGTATGAGGTAGATTAATGTTGAAATTAAAACATTGGTAGCAGAGTGATCTCACATATGTCAAGATCAATTTAACATTGGTGTGGATTTCATGATCTCACACAAGTTAAGATCACTTTAAAAACCGTTGGTGGTTGAACGATGTCAAGATCGACCTATAAAACATTGGTATTAGACTGATCTCTCAAGACCAAGTCTGAAAACATTGGTGTTAGACTGATCTCTCAGAACTCAAGACCAAGTCTGAAAACATTAGTGTTAGACTGGTCTCTCAGAACTCAAGATCAAGTCTGAAAACATTGGGGTTAGACTGATCTCTCAGAACTCAAGACCAAGTCTGAAAACATTGGGGTTAGACTGATCTCTCAGAACTCAAGACCAAATCTGAAAACATTGGTGTTAGACTGATCTCTAAGAACTCAAGATCAAGTCTGAAAACGTTGGTGTTAGACTGATCTCTCAGAACTCAATACCAAGTCTGAAAACATTGGTGTTAGTCTGATCTCTCAGAACTCAAGACCAAGTCTGAAAACATTGGTGTTAGTCTGATCTCTCAGAACTCAAGACCAAGTCTGAAAACATTGGTGTTAGTCTGATCTCTCAGAACTCAAGAACAAGTTGAAAACACTGGTGTTAGACTACTCTCACAGAACTCAAGATAAAACCAGAAAACTATGGTGTACGTAGAATCATTTCTTTATTATCTAGATTAATTTAGGGAATGCTACTGGTGTCAAAATCCATCTCTGGAAACTCCAGAACAGGCAGGTTGGCCTTCAGGAAGGCCAGCTTTTCCATTGCAAGGGGGTCCAGCAAGCTCCAGTCATGGGTCACAACATCTCCTGCCAGGCTGAAGACCTTTTCACTCTGGATGCTGGTTGGTGGGCAGCTAAGGAACATGCGGGCAGCGTTTGCCAGATCCATCCACACATGGGTCTGGGAGCACCAGTTGGCCAAGGAATTGCAGGAAAAAAGCACTTGAGGTTCCTCAAAGTA